GAAGGAAGCGGTGCCCACACTGGAACCATAGCAAGACCAGAGGCAATCCGCAGAGCAGCTGTTGAGGATCAAAAGGAGAGAGAGTCAGTAGCCAAACTAAGATCCAAGAATCAGATTGGAATCTGCAAGGACCTTAAGAGCCTAGGAACACCAAACGGCAGCGCACACAAAACAGACGGGCATCAGGAGCTACAGGAGAGGAGACCTTCTTGTTGAAACAGGCCGTCTCCAACTGATAAGCCTGAAGCATTTATTGGGGGGGGGGGACAACCAGTTCAACAAGGATTGCTCAAGCCCATCAAGCTGGGAGTCTGCCGTGGTTTTGCCGTGCAGCCGCTAGCCGAAGAATGCCCTGTTCTTTTCCTCCCAGATCCCAAAACAGGTCATGAGTTTGGGTAACCGAGGGTGAGTCAAAGGGCTTCGAATCAGTCCTGGGTTTCGTGAGACCTCCCATCTCACTAAAGTGTGGCATATGTGTTAAGGGGACAGGCAGATTGTAAACCGTTCTGCCAGTCTGGTTTTTAAAGCTCCCAAGGCTGATGTTCATGGCAGTCATAAGAACAACACACCTTTCCTTTGGCTCGATCGATTTAAGCTCTCTTTCTCAGCTTGTCAGGCTGAAAGGGTTCAACGGGGCTCAGGTTGGGGATGCCAGCCTCCAGGTGGGACCTGGGGATCCCCCAGAGTTATAGCTCGTCTCCAGGCTACAGAGATCAGTTCCCCTGGAGGAAATGGCTGCTTCGGAAGGTGGCCTCTCTGGGATTGTACCCCACTGGGGTCCCTGTTCTCCCCAGGCTCCACCCCCAAATCTCCAGGAGTTTCCCAAGCAGGATCTGGCCACTCTACTTCCCCCCATCCCCCACCAATGGCCAGGGAGGACCTGGCAACCCTTGCTCAGGGGGTGGGTGGATGAAGGAAGGCAGGGCATCGTCCTCACTTGGACTGCTCCTACATGGGGGCATGAACACCCCCCCACACACGCACTATAGTGGGAGCGGCGAGTGGGGGGAAGAGTGTGACTGGCTTCTGCAATCCTGCTGCACTTGCAACCACCGCCACTCCACCCCTGCTCCTTCCCTTTCCTGCACCACGCCTGTGCAGACGCACGGATGCAGTGCAGTTTTTAGTGCCCGCTGCAGCTTCAGCGCCCCCCCCTTTTCTTTCCATTTTCCAGCTGAGGCACACTGCAATGCTGCAGCATGGTTCCCCTGGGAAAGGAAAAACCCTTTAAAAAGATGGGGAGGGGAGAACGTCATGGGGTAGAAAGCTGACAGGCACCGTGGATCCGTGGTAGAGCTTCTGCTTGGTTTGCAGAAGGCCAATGCTATGCTGGGGATTATTAGGAAGGGTATTGAAAACAGATCAGCCAATATCATAATGCCCCTATATAAATCAATGGTGAGACCTCATTTGGAATACTGTGTGCAGTTCTGGGCACCACACCTTAAAAAGGATATTATAGCTTTGGAAAAAGTGCAGAAAAGGGCAACTCGAATGATAAAAGGGTTGGAACACTTTCCCTATGAGGAAAGGTTAAAGCGCTTAGGGCTCTTTAGCTTGGAGAAAAGACGACTAAGGGGTGACATGATCGAGGTTTATAAGATTATGCATGGGAAAGAACAGGTAAAGAAAGAGGTACTTTTCTCCCTTTCTCACAATACAAGAACCCGTGGGCACTCCATGAAATTGCTGAGCGGTCGGGTTAGAACGGATAAAAGGAAGTACTTCTTCACCCAAAGAGTGATTAACACATGGAATTCACTGCCACAGGAAGTGGTGGGTGCTACAAGCATGGACGGCTTCAAAAGGGAATTAGATAAGCATATGGAGCAGAGGTCCATCAGTGGCTATTAGCCACAAGGTATAGCTAGGGGCTCTGGGGCAAGTGATGCTCTGTCTTCTTGGTGCTTGGGGGGGGGGTCAACAGTGGGAGGGCTTCTAATGTCCTGGCCCCACTGCTGGACCTCCTGATGGCACTGGTATTTCTGGCCACTGTGTGACACAGAGTGTTGGACTGGATGGGCCTTTGGCCTGATCCAACATTGGCGTCTCTTATGTTCTTATGTTCTTAAGGTCCCAGGTTCAATCCCCAGCATCTCCAGTAAAACGGTCTGGCAGTGGGTGATGTGACAGGCCTCCGCACAAGACCCTGGGGAGCCACTGCCAGTCGGAGTAGACAATATTGACTTTGATGGACCAACAGTTTGATTCCATGTAAGGCAGCTTTATGTGTTGATGCCCGTGAGCCTAGCGCCACCCCTTTCCCATACCAGCTGCTGTAGAGCATCCCCATGGATGGGCAAAGTGGTCTAACAGGATCAGTCCAGGAAGGAACGCAGTGTTCCCTCTAAGCTGAGTGAGTGTGAGCTATCTCACAGTTTTTCAGCCTCCAGCTCACACATTTTTGTCTTAGCTCAGGAAGGAGGGCTCCAGAGCAAACTAATTTATGCAATAGCCAAATCGCTCACTCACAACTTTAATGCCAGTAGCTCACAAAGTAGAATTTTTGCTCGCAAGACTCCATAGTTTACAGGGATTAACGGAAGGAAGAGGGCCCAGGCTGGTATCATAGCAAGAACAATAACTATGTCATGCATCCCAAACAGGCAACTGGAAGAGCAGAGTTGAGACCAAAAGAACTCAGATCCAAGAATCAGATTGGAATCTGTGAAAACATTCCAGCAGCAGAGAAATAAACCCCACAGTTTCCCCGATGAGTCGGGTTAAAGGAGGTTTTTCTGTAACCCCCAGAGAAAAATATGGGAGCCCCCTAGGCCATGCCTGTATTGGGTATGATGTTGTGTAGATGCTCTCAAATACAGCGGTGGCTGTCCGCATGGAGTAAAATCCTTGTGTAGAAGCAACCTTTCTTATCCTGCCCCATCAAGACTGAACTCTATGTGGTTTATGAAGAAGAGGCTTAACTGATTCCCTAGCTAGATCAAGTAATGGATCTTGCATAATTTGACTTCAGCAGGCAAGATCAGGAGTTGCCATGACCTGTAGCTTCCAAATGGCACCCTCTGTACTTCCTTAGTACAGTTTGGTGTAGTGGTTAAGTGCACGGACTCTAATCTGGGAGAACCAGGTTTGATTCCCCACTCCTCCACATGCACCTGCTGGATGACCTTGGGCAAGTCATAGTTCTGGCACAGCTGTTCTTGAAAAAGAGCAGTTTCTGTCAGAGCTCTCTCAGCCCCACCTACCTGTCTGTTGTGGGGAGGGGAAGGAGTTTGTAAACTGCTCTGAGGCTCCTTTGGGTAGTGAATCCAATCTCTTCTTCTTCTTCTTAGTATGACTTTAGTAAAGAGGCAAAGGCTGTCGGGACTGATAGCTGTGTGGTTGTTGGAAAATTGCACCATGTGAGCAGCTGCCCTACCTGGTGATCTGGATGGTATCACAGTACCTGCCAGACACGCATAATCTACAATTGCTTTGTTTTACCAAAGGGCTGAAGACATGGCATGGTGGTTTTCAAACTTTCTGCTTCAGCCTGACCACGCATTACAATTTCCCCACTTCCTCCCTGAGTTCTGGTGATCATACATGCTCGGCAAGTTCTATGCTTGGAACTTAGTTCCCAGGCATGCAAGGGCTGATTCGGATCAGGACCATGGCACATAGGGAAAGGGGGTTAACCCCCCCCCCCAAACTGGGTTGTTTTTCCATTCTGAAATGGCCCCAGGGAGTGCTGTTTGGCCCACTGGGGAAATTTACATGGCGGCCATCAATTGTCCCAAAGTTTGGTTCCCTTCTGAGTCAAGTAGCACCCCCAGTCCACTCCAAGTTCAGAAAATGCTGCAGTACCAGTCGGAATTGACCTTATGTGCCTGGGAACTCACTTTGATCTCCAGGACCTTAGGTGTGGGAGGGAACACAAGGAAAACAATGTGTTCTCAGGGAGAACCATGTCCATGTAATCCTAAACTGGGAAGGCGCACCCAGGCCTACCCCCTGTGCAGTGTCAGAAATCTACTGCTCAAGCATTCCCAAAACATGGCTGTCCAGCCTCTGCTAGAAGATTGCCAGCAAGGCGGGGTAGAGCATGTCCCACATCCACATATTTGGTTCCAGTGTTGTGCTGCACTTAACCAATAGGAAGCTTCTCTTAATGATCCACAAAAATCTACTCCCCTGTAAACTGAAGTCCACCAGATCTAGTCTAACCCTCTGAAATAACAGAGAACAACACTTTGCTGTCTTCCACCTGTCTGCTGAGGAACCCTTGAGGAGTGGCCATGGAACTTCAGCACATTGCAGGGGATTCTGGGATATAATGTCCGGTGCACACTCAGTTCACAAGGGCCACTTGCCCGGTCTGTTGTGTCTCAGCCCTGAAATGACGTGGGTGTTATGAAGAAAAACTTTTGACATTCTCTAGCAATTACACATGGTATGTGGGATCGGTAACAGGTGGGCAAGCCTTTTCTTCAAAGGAAGTTTGTCCCCCATGACTGAACTACCTGCTGAGGAACCCCTGATAACTTTTTTTGAGAAACCTCGCAGTCCTCATAATAGTTTGGGAACCCCTCATGTAGTACCCAAAGGGTGGCACATTTTTAACGACTCAAGTGACGAAAGAGACACTCTGGAGTGGCCCTCAAAACTCACATGTGGCGCGTCTGTGTGGGAAGAGTTAATCTAGAAATCGGTGGATTGGTCTCTCCTTCCTGGTTTTATTCGACACAATGAAAACAAATGTTGTGTTTGTGTATGTGTGCGAGTGCATACTAGGTGAGGGCCAGGCTTATGACGCATCCTTTCTCCCCCTCACTTGGCGGACAAAACCTCTCAGCTCTGTGACACTGGAACAGTCCTGATGTCAAGTCCTTTTGACAATCTGACAGACGCCTGAGCGTTGGGGGGGGGGGGAGAGAGCGGCAGCCTCTGTAGCAGCAGCAGGAGGAGGAGGAGGAGGAGGAGGAGGAGAGAAAATATTTTCCGTGTCTTCGCCTGAAGTCATTCTGTGGTTTTTGAAAAAATGTGCTGTATATTTTCAGGGCTGTGTCACATGACCTGCTAGGGTTATGAATAGCTGAGTATAATGATTTCTTAGTGAACGTTTAAAAAAAAGAGAGAGCGAGAGAGAGAGAGAGTGAGTGATTCTCAGCGAGAGGGAGGCTCGCATTCGTTCAGCTACAGCAGGCAAAGAGACGGAACGTGGAAAGTTCCCCCGACTCCAGGTGTCTGTGTCCCCCGCACCAGGCAGCCAGGTGAGTGGGAAATAAGGCTGGGCCTTGGTGTAAGGTGGGAGGTCAGATCTGTGGTTTGGCATCTGGTCTTCCTTTCCTTGGCACTGCTGCACTTGGCATTTCGGGGGACATCTGTGGACTCTCTTCTTTCTTTTTAGAAGAGCAAAACTTCCCAAGAGTTGGTTTTTGTTTTACTTTTGCTTTGCTCTCTGTGTGGGTCGGGTGGGTGGGTGTGAGGAGGGCTGCCGGTGGAAGGGAGGAAAAGAAGCCGTGTGGATCCGAGCGAGCAGATGTGAGAGAGATCCAAGTGGTGCACACATGTGAGGCAGTGGTTGTGTGTGTGCCTGAGCGGCGGTGTGAGGGGTTTGTGAATAAACGGCGGGGGACTGGGATTGTATGAGAAAGTGTGTGTGTGTGTGTGTGTGGAGAGACCAAGTGCCTGTAAAGGCAATTGTTATGAGTTGTGACATTTGCGTGTGTTTGAGTTGGTAAGATTCCTCATCGGGGCAAGCCCTGACTGGGTGAGTGGGCGCGTTAGTTAAGGGACCCTGCTCACCCTCGGAGTTGATTCTTCCTGTCCCAACTCCCTGTCTATTCTACTCTCCCACAGTGGGGCTGTGGATGGTATCTCCACCTAATGATGGGGTGTGTGTTTTAAGTGGGTGTTGCTTCTCTTAGGGCCTGTGGTAGTGGGAAGGTGGTGGAATCCTGACCCCTTTTCGATCACTGGCCCGACTGCTGCATTTTTAATAGAGAACGACAAACGGTGTGCGGAATGGGCAGATACTGGACTGGTTTTGTGCATGCCGAGAGGGTAGGCATCTCTCTTCTCCTTGAGTGGAGAAAGAAGTTCAAAAGCACATGGGAAACATAACTTGGGGGGTTGGGATGTGCGTACGGCCGCCCTTGAGATACCCAGGGGACAGTGTATTAGCATCTGCAGGGCTTTGAAGGAATCCTTTGGCCAGAAGCATGTTGTAATGGTGGGTAAGAGTGTATTGGGTGGGGTGGAAGACGTCTGGGCCGTTGGATGAACATAGCGATGAGCAAAGGCTCCTGGTGAAGTGCTCTCTGAAATCACTGTACGCTATCCATCTCTCTCTCTCTCTCTCTCTCTCTCTTTCTATCTCTTTCGTGGCGTGCGCACGCACACAAAACCCTCCACGATTATTACAATAAACTTCTCCATTACTGCATCTTAGGCCTTCCCAATTAAACAATGCTGCTGCCTTGACACCTATCTCCAGATGATGTCCCTCATGGAAAGTTGTGATAGTGCTAGGGTTGCCAGCTGTGGACTGGGAAACACCTGGAGATTTTGGGGGTGGAGCCTGGAGAGGGGAGGGTTTGTGGAGGGGAGGGACCTCAGCCGGGGACAAGGCCATAGAGTCTACCCTCCAAAGCAGCCATTTGCTCCAGGGGACGTGATCATCTGGAGATCAACTGCAATAGCAGGAGATCTCCAGGTGCTACCTGGAGTTTGGCAACCGTAGATCGCACAGAAGTTTACTGCTCATTCCTTGACCGTACTGGGAGAATTAAGGTTAACAACACAGTACTTTCCACACACACGTCTTTCCACATTCATCTCTCCACCTGTAACCATCTTCCTCCACCCAATCTTGCCCTCTTTTCTTTTTACAGTGTACATCATCTCATTGTGTATATAGAGAACACACTTTGTATTGTCTCTCCCCTTGAGCTTGGCTGATGATTGTAAACATATATTTGCTTTTGTTCTGTCCAGTAGGCATTGAGCCTGTTACCTTGGAGATCTTAGATGCCAGTGCACGAGTGGATCCAATTCTCAGGTCCTGCTGTGGAGAGATATACAGTGGCATAGATGGGGAGGTCAAGATGTCAGGCCTGGGAACACACTGGGATACAGGGCCTGGGCTGTTTTTATTGATGCGAATCTATAGATTTAAATTCAACTTTTAATGGGGGGAAAATTGGAATCCAAGTATAGTTTGGATCTGTTAAGTGAGCACCCCCTAAAGGAAAATTTGGGGATTGCTCCCTGGCTAATAAGTTTTTCTTCTGATATCTTTCAGTCCTGTGGTTCAGAGTGCCCCTTCTGTAATCTAGAGGCCAGGGGAGACACTTCTCTTTCCGTTGTAAACATAGGAGAAAGTTGAGGCTGATGGTCATATTGCTGACTGACAAGGTCACGCAGAGCAGTGAAATGGATCAAGCGCTGGGTTCTCCAAATTGCAGTTGGAGCACATGAATATTGTACGACTGTGACTGAAACCTTCAGTTCTCCCTTCCCTGTTCATCTGGTGTTTCTTTGTTCATAGAACAACATAGGCTTTTTTTTGGGGGGGGGACGGGTCATATGGTTGCCAACTCCATTGGGGTGGAGAGACTGAAGAGGGAGGGTGGGTGTGGGGAGGAGAGAGACCTCGGCGGGGGCATAATGCCATAGAGTCTACCCTCTAAAGCTGCTGTTTGCTCCAGGGGAATTAATCTTGGTAAACTGGAGATCAGTTGTCATTCCAGGAAATCTCCATGCAGCACCTGGAGGTTGGCAGCCTTGCTGAATGGCTATATGGACCTGGGTGGGGGGTGGTCTTTTGAGCCTGAAAAACAGGATTCAGGCTCACTTGCATGATAACAGCTGTCCAACAACAAGACTTCTTAGGTGGTGGAATCTTCTGGAATTCCCTAGCTGGGGTTCCCTTTGTTTCGTCCTTGGTCATTAGTGGGAACGCGTGCCCCCCAAAACAAACTGTTCAGCGGCACAATTAAATTGGGACTTGTAACTTGGCTCTGGGTTGCTGGTTGCCTGTGGCAAGGAAATGTACACCTTGGCCACCAAGCAGAGAGCAAGAGACACATTTCAAATGTCGGCTCTTTTGTGTTTCAGGATGCAAAGAATCACAGTAGAGAGAGGTGAGGCTAGTTGGGCTAAGAACTTCTTTGGATTTGTTTGCAAGGCAGATCTGACTACAAATTGCATGGCCTTTGGTGTGCAGGTCACTTTGCAGCCTAGTTTCAGGTGGTAGACAGGTCGGTCTGCAGTAGAAGAGCTAGATTCGAGTCCTGTAGCACCTTAGAGACCAACAAGATTTCCAGGGTATAAACTTTTGAGAGTCAAAACTCCCTTTGTCAGATATCTGGTGAAGGGAGCTTTGACTCTCAAAAGAGCCAGTTTGGTGTAGTGGTTAAGAGCATGGACTCTACTCTGGGAGAACCGGGTTTGATTCTCCATTCCTCGACATGCGGTTGCTGGTGTGACCTTGGGTCAGTCACAAGTTATTTCAGAGGTGTTCTCTCAAGGGCAGTTCTCAAAAGAGCTCTGTGAGCCCCACCTACCTCACAGGGTGTCTGTTGTGGGGAGGGAAAGGGAAAAGGGATTGTAAGACGCTCTGACGCTCCTTTGGGTAGTGAAGGGTGGGGTATGAAACCAATCTTCTCCTCCTCCTCCTCAGAAATCGTGTTGGTCTTTAAGGTGCTACTGGACTCAAAGCTAGCTCTTTATAGTCTAGTGTTGCGAACCTCAAATGCTTAAGGATAGTAATTTTTCTTCTCTTATGTTACCTTATCTGTCCTATTAATTATATTTTATCCCATCCTTCCTCCCAAGAGCCCAGGACAGCATATATTTATTTATGTAGAATATTTTTAACCACTTTCACCATTACTCTTTTTTCACATTCTTTTATCAAGCCATGTTCTCCAGTTACTTCTTTTGTGGTGACTTCTCTCTGTCTCCCCTGTTTGTGGTGAGTCCTCTGGTTGGAGTCCTAGTTTCCCAGGTCATCTGAATTATTTGCTGGAAACAGATGTTTAACCTGTTATTATAAGGTGCGTGTGAGTCTGGGGTTATAGCGTTCCCTTCTCCAAGTGTTTCCAGCATCACTTTGGTGTTCCAACGTGCTGCAGGATCTCAAAGACTGAGTAGTCGTCAAAGAGGTGGCGGCTGCAGAAACAAGTTAGGAAAATATGATAGTGAGAGACGACAAAGAATCAAGATCCAGGCTAGAAAAACTCGCGTTCATCATTCCCATCCTCCTCTCCTCCCCCATTAGTCTCATGACTGAAATTCATATCCAGAATTTCAAAACCTGACAATTTGAGGTGGGACGCAAACCTAAGTAGATCTGGTCAGCACCATATTCAGTGGGGCAAACTCCCAGGCCAAAAATGGTGATGGAAAGAGCCGTCTAACTCCCAGGAAAGTGCTGTTCTTAGCGCTTGGAGGCCAAAAATGGTGATGGAAAGAGCCGTCAAGTTGCAGCCAACTTATGACAACTTTCAAGGCAAGAGACTAATAAAGGTGGTTTGCCATTGCCTGCATCTGTGAAGCAATGGTGGTCTCCCATCCAAGTACTAACCAGGGCTGACCCTACTTAGACTTCCAAGATCTGACAAGATCAGGCTAGCCTGAGCCACCCAAATCTGGATGGGTTTCACACTAAAGAATATTTTTCACACTTCTTACATTCAGGGAACCCTTTCAATTTAGAGAGAGAGAGATCCTGCAGAAACTGCAGAAGATCCTGGGTACAGTTCTAGAGGGCACGGTCAATTTATATAGGGTTCCAGCCATATCGAACACATCTCACTGTACTTCCATGTGGACCATAGGACCTAGAACAATCTCAGTACTCCCCTGTGGTGCATACAGGAGAAGATCAGTAATGGCAAATGAGTTTCTTTTCAGTGGAAGCCTGTCTTCCATCATCAGTGTCCTCCTGGAAGGACCTTTGATAAACTTCAGTAAACTTCTAAGGAACCTCAGGATTTTATGGGACACACAGTTTGAAAACAACTGGCCTAGGGACAGCACAGCATCTCTACCAGGTGTGACTTTAACACATTGCCATGTGTGTACGTGTGTGAGGATGATGAAAAGTACCATGCAATGGAATGCCTCCTTGGGAATGTTCAGTCTGGAGAAGAGGAGGTTGAAGGGGCACACAATGTATTTGAAGGGCTATCACATAGAGGAGGGCAGGGAGCTGTTCCTGGTGGCAGCAAAGGATAGGACTCCCAATAATGGGTTTAAATTAAGG